GTAATTAATTCATATTAAATTAATATTTATTATTATATAATTCTACTAATTAATCAAATTCAAATTAATAGAGAGTGGGTATAAAGCCTAATTAAATTGACTATTGATTCTTAAATAATGCTTTTACCTTTGTATCAAAATTAACAGGGAGTGAGTACGAAACTTACTAGATCCTTATTCAAATTGATAATTTTCCTACTGCAAATAACAAATTTTATTATATCAAACAACAGAGAGTAAGTGTAATTTTATTATATTTATGATGAAATCAAATAATTTATTCTTATATGTTTTTCTAATCAATTACATTCACAATTGCTAGTTTGTAAGTTTAGAATTCAATATATTTATGATTTAATTAAAAAATTATTTATTTATTAATAGCATTTTGAATCAATAGGGAGTAAGTGTAAAGTTAATTAAAATCATTACTAGCCAATATTCATTTTATTAACAATTCTCTAATCAATCAAATTATCAGTCGGTGAATATAAAATTATTAAACATTCTTAAATTACGCTTCTCTAATTAATCATATTCATAATAAATTATTAGATTGTAAGTGTAAAAGTTTAATAATGATAATTATATTTATAATTTATTACTTAATAAAATTTAAATAAATTACATTCAAATAAAATTAATAGAGAGTAAGTATAAATTTCTATTTAAATTTGTAATCATTATTAAATAACCTCTCTAACTAGTCAATTAATATTAAACTATAGTTGGTAATATAAAGCTTATTGATTTATATCAGGTCAATAATTTCTTATTAATTAATATTTTTTAATCATCACTTTTGTTTTGACATGTTAGATGGCAAGTGTAAAGATTAATTTATATTTAATTAAAATAATTTATTCTTCAATAACACTTTAAATTCATCATAAAATAACAGAGAGTATGTATAAGTCTTATTTAATTTATGTTTAAATAACTATTGTTAATAAAACTATTCAACAGGGAGTAAGTATAAACTTATAATTAAATCAATAATTTATTAAAATAATGCTTTTATAATAATTATAATTGTATCAAATTAACAGATTGTAAGTTTTGGTTTATTGGAGTAATACTTGAATAATACCATATTTTGAAAACACTTCACTAATAATCAAATTCAAAAAAACAATAGTTTGTAAGTATCAAGTTTTGGTTAATAATTAGATTAATAACACACTCTTAAGAATACTCTTACATCTATATCATATTAACAGGGAGTTAGCGTAAAGTTTATTACTTTTAAAATTACATAATTTATTTCTTAAATAATACTTCTCTAATCAATTATATTGCTAGTCAGTATGTTTATACTCAAAATAATTAAATTTATGACAAATTGTCTAATTAATCATATCGATATCGATATTTGCATTAAATTGATAGTCAGTGAGTATAAAGTTTATTATGTTTATGCTAAAGAATAATTTATGTTTAATATTCCTAATAATACTGTAATATCTGTTAGATGGTAAGCATAAAGCTTATTAGATTCGCAATTAAATCATAAATAACACTTTATAATCTAATCAAATTGACAGTGAGTAAGTATAAACTTTAATAAATTTATCTGAAATCAATAATTTATTTTTAAATAATACTTTCACATTCGTATTAATTAACAAACTGTGAGTATAAAGTTTATTGAATTTAAATAGCACATATATGATCAACATTCGAATCAAATTAATAGGGAGTAAGTATAAAGTTATTTAATTTCTAAATAAAGAATTCATTTTCAAATAAAAATTCACATTAAATTTAGAATATGTGAAGAATGTAATCAACTATGCAATAGCAGTGGATGGTGTAATCATTGCTATGCTAAACAGTTTTAGCAAGACTTTAGAAACTGGACAAGCAGTAATGATATTGTGGATAAATTTATTCAGGATATCCAACTTAAAGCGTGTAATTCTGATGAAACTCTTGAGTGGGTTCCTTTTGAAAAATTTAAAGATGTCACATATCTATTCAAAGGTAGATTTAGAACTGTTTATAGAGCAAGATGGCCGGATAGTTACATTCTCCACTAGAACAAAACAAAATAGAATAGATCTTTCGATAAAAATATTTGCTTAAAAAGCTTGAATGATTCAATCGACATTTCTTCTGAATTTTTACAAGAGATATCGATATATATATTTTTTTTATGGAATTTATTAAATTCTGTCACTAATATTAATATATCCATTTACAGGTTCGAAGTCAGTTAAAACTTAGGAAAAAAAGTGCTGCAATTGCAATTTATGGTATTACCAAGGATCCAGTAACCAATAATTACATAATGATTATAGATTATGCTAAAGAAGGGAGTCTTAGAAAATTGCTTAATAATAAATTTAATAAGCTCGATTGGGATGATAAAGTGGCACACATATACCTAGTTATTAATAATCTGAATGAAATACATAAAGAAGGATTAGTATATAAGGATTTTTACCTCAGTAATATAGTTTGTTACAATAAATTCAATCTATACTTTACAGATTTTGGAATGTGTAAGCCAGTATCACAATTGAAAGCCTCAAACGAAATTTATGGCATTCTTCCATACGTAGCCCCAGAGATATTAACAGGTCAAGAATATATTAAATCATCAGATATATACTCACTTGGAATTATAATGTCAGAAATTTTAACAGGATATCTGCCATATCATGATATCTTACATGATGCTTATCTTGTAATGCAAATATTAACGGGCCTCTGTCCCAAAATTCACTGTAGTATTCCTAAACTACTTATAGATGTGATAAAACGATGTTGGAATACAGATCCCAACAGCCGACCAACTTCTGAAGAACTTTTAAATATCTTTAATCAATGGAAAACTGAAGAATAGAGCTATTTTATTGATAAATTATCCAAATTATATAAACAAATTCAAGAAATTAACAAGAAATCCACTGGATATGATCCTAAAAATTTTGTACCCAACTCACGGGCATTCTATACTAGCCAACTTTCGAATTTTTCTAATACTTCAATACCAAGAAATGTGGATACATGTGGTAAGCATAGTTTCAGATTAGCTTTTTATTATAATATATATGTTACTAATATGCGAATTAATTTACAGATTAATTTACTAGATTCAAAGCAAATTTTAATTAAACTTTCGGATAATTTGAATTGTAAGCAAAATAAATAGTAGATACAATGATTTTACTTTCATACTTCAAGTTAATATTAATTTAATAATTTTTTATAAATTTTATTGAAACAGTAGATGAAAGTGATGAAGCTGATTAAAAATTCCAAGTAAAATAATATTGGTTTTTAATAGATAATGTAAACTTGTCATTAATATTTATACTGTATTAGTTCACTGCTGTATAAGCAATATTATCCTGAACCATTTCATGATCAGAGCGTATATTTACGTGATACTTGTCATATCATTGAATTTTACAAAATTAATTCTTAAAATTCTTCTAATGGCTACCTTTAAAATCCCATCAATTTCATGCAATTATAAATTTGACCACAACTTAACATTTCTTTGAATACTTTTTTTAATAAGTTTAAAGGCTTCTAAACATGAACCCCAACTTGATGAATATCCTAATTAATAAAACTAGTTTTATAAAAATATATAGTTAATATATATCATAATTATAATATTTTGTTTTATAAATACATTACCATAAGAATTATGCCCATAATTATGACAAACTATAACATCTTTGTTCTTAGCATTCTTTCTGATCTCAACCTCTAATCGAATGCCATTTTTTCTATATGGTCTTCATCCAACATTATGTCTTATAATTTGTAAATCTTGCGATTCTTTATCTAATGTTAATTCTGGATACAATTTAATGCATCATTGAATAATGCCTTCTGCAGTTTTTGGATCTGGGTTTTCAGAGCTATTTAAATATAATATATTAATATATGTTAGTATGTCTATAATACGAATACATATATAATAATGATAGCTAAGAAAATAAATGACGAATTACTAATCATTCATGTTCATAGTTCCTCCAAGAATAACCTTCCCACTTTCTCTAGAAATGACAAATGTAAAAGAATCGCGATCTTTTGTTAAATATAATAAACGTTAATGATATTTATAACATTAATAATTTTAAGAAATAGCACTTACTAGTTAGAATATGCACTGTTTTAATGTGTGGTGCCCAAACAGAAACAGTTTAGCCATGTGAAGGAAAAACCGGAGTATCCATAACACCACCAAAAGTTTTAGCATTAACTCCTATGCAATTTATCACTACATTAATATCATCATCATCAAAAAATGATTCATTAATATGAGAAAGATAGACTTTTTTTCTTATGCCACCATTAGTGGTGAATTGGTCAAGTAGCCATTGTAGATATTTTTAACATTTAAACTAACTATTGTTAATAAAGTGTCATGCTTATGCGAAAATGTGTGTTAGTTACAAAATGAAAATGGTTAAACAATGAGATAATAATGAACCTGTTGTATAAGACACTCTGTATTCGACACCAGATGGCAATTCTTTTGGTGGTATTACTCTGAACTAGATAAAAAAAGAGAGGTAACCCAAGCGAATAAATCTACAAAGAATTTGCCATCTTAATAAAAGGAAAAGTAATACCTCTGGAACGAAATCTCTAAACCAAATATCACCTTTCAACTCAGGTTTTTTATTCATAAAATTATAAATTTGTACGCGCATTAATCCAGTTTCTGGAGTTTCAGATAAGGTCCAAAATTCATTTCACGAAATTTTTTCATATTCTATTCAAATTATGATCGTAATTTTAATGAAAATAACAAAAATCTAATCATAATTATCGCATTTACCATGTACTCTTTTATCATCAATATGGAGGTTAGCTCTCCAGGCCGCAGCTGCCCAAGGACTTGAATAATTAATATTTAAATCGCTAGGCCAATATTCAGATAAAATTCTCACTTGATATCCATTTCTTTGTAGAACTAAAGTGGTGGTAAAACCTATTACGCCAGCACCAATAATATTAACCTTAATTTTTTGTGATATTTTCCTTTCTAATAGCAAATATACTTGATATTAAGGGAGAAGTTGTTGATCTACCCATTACAGTCTAAAATTAAATATACTGTATTCACACAATCTGTGATACCTTATAGGTAGCTGCGCGATGTTGTTGCACAAAGACCAGAATCAACAAGCCTTTAGAGTCAGTATGACCCTCGAGCCGATGGTCTCAAATGTCTTATATTTGTAGCTGTAGTAAAAAACATTGTAAAAGGTTACACAAATCTAACCAATCAGTAAAGTTATTGTTATATCACATAATTAAACCTAATTGGCGATTGGGTCCACGCTAATAACGATAATAATGATATCAATATAAAAAAGAAATTTGAAAATATTTAAATGAACAAGTATATTACCTGCTAACTTTGCTAACAGTTATATAATATACAAATTAAAATTAATATACATATGTAAGATATTTGCATGCCTTAAAGTGCAATACCTCTATACCTTGGGAACACCTAAAAAGTATAAACCTTAAAAGATTTTAAAATGAAATAAAAAAAATCCAAATACATCACTAAATACCCGTTAGCACTTTATGATAGGGATGTCTGTCAACTAAGTAAATCAAAACTATATGTGGTCACTTATAATTTAAGCTTATCGAATTTTTTTTTTGATCAAAATTATTAATCAGTGACATATTATATTAATTAAAATCTATTATTGCACCATGAATTAATTAGCGTTGTAGGCATAAATTAGGTTAAATAATTAATTCGGCTTTGCTAAATATACCGAAGTAATTTTTTTTGCATTGCGAATTTTAATATAAGATACATATAACAATAAATGTATAATAATAAATATTAATGCATTCCTTTTATATTTTATTATTACAATTGTTACAGTTAATACAGTATGTATTGCAACTCATTTTAACCTTTATAAACAAATCTTTGTAAATAAGAAAAATAATTAATGCCAAATTCTTCATACTTTACTGCGAAAGGTCTTTTGTCCGAATATATTAAAACAATTAATCTAGTTTTAAAATCAGCCCATCCCTTAATATTTATGCCATATATTAATCCTTGGGGTGCTCATCTCATAGAAATTTAGTTTAAAATATTATTTGTTTTTGTCTTATCATTAAGTTTTTTTTGCAATTTTAGAAACTTTTTTTTCATCTTTTTTTACATATTACCTGCTTAGATAGAATTCAGCAGCATACAACCTAAAATAAAAAAAAAATTTAGTACTTGTATTATTAAAGGAATAAAAAAACAATTACCTTTAGCCCAATTTTCTAGCTAATTTCAAACCAAAATAAGAATCTTCAATAACTAGACACTCATTTGCATCCAGAAAATGCTTCTCTAAAATGCATTTATATTTATTAACTTCACTCTTATTATCAGATTTATAAAATAAGTTTAAAATTTGCCTTATTAAGCAAATAAATTGCTTCTCTAGCACCATCCACAAGCTCAGAATTAGAAAAATCCATTTTTTTAATGTTTCTCATATCTTTAAACTCATCAAAAGTCAAATTTAATAAACTTCTATTATTTAACAAATCTGCTAAAAAAGTATTAGACTTTTCAAGAAAAACCTAATTTGACTCGCACGTATATCTCATATATATTGCAAACCATATTGATCAAATATATTCTGAATATGCAACATATATTTTTCTTCGGTATTGGCCAAAAGACTATTTAAATCAATAATTACATACTTGATCATTGAGGAAATTAACAAGAAAAAATATATAAATGTGACTACTGTATTATATAAAATTGAAGATAATGCCAAATCGCCAAATTTAAAAATTTTAATTCATCTAACAATTTATACTTTCACACTTAT